TCCATGTACCCGTGGGGGCCGGTGAAAGATCGCTACATATAGGGGGACAGACTTGCGTGCCCGCCGTATTGTGACCGGTGACCCGCGCGCGTTCGGACAGCTGAGCTGCGTCTTTCTCGCGCGTGTCTGAGCTTTCAAATTTGGAATTTTCTTATCTACGGATTTTCGTTATTAAATTTTAAAATTTAAATTTATTTACATTTCATTTTTATTTTACGTCATCAGAACGGTGATTATGAACACTGATATTTTCTGGGATGTAACGCCGTATAGTCCGGTAGAAGCCTACTAAAGTTTCGGGGTAACATACTGTCTCCATTTTTAGGGTCTAAGCGTAAGCCAAACTTTAACTTGACGCCTGCTTCTTACTGGTTACGTACTTGGATTATTATTCTATCCTGAAGATAGAGACATTATTTTCCTCAGAAACGTATATCAACTTCTATTGGAGTACGCAGTGTTACATTCCGCAAGGCTCTCAGTCTTACGAGAGGCGCCTATCGATTAGTTGTGTTTGCTTGAAAAAAGGAGGACATGAACTTCGAATTATTTGATAAATTCCGTCATCCCTTAAATAATGCAGACATTCGAACTGTGCCCTGAAATACAGGCTGGTTGTTTCCACATGTGAAGTGCTTAGAAAGCGATCACAGGATTCATGTAGCTTTATTTGGTTTCTTCAGAATAATAATTTCTGTATGACTTGGAATCTGTATTTTGTTTTTCCGGGCGTTTAGGGGCAAATAAACGCGTTTTCTTGTTTTCCATAAATTGTCCAGGAACTGCAGCGTCCGTTGTTTTTTATAGTATCAAATACTGAAAACATTTGATAAAGAGATATTTAGCCCTTTGAAGCCGAATCGGTGGGACAGGTAAATTGATGTTGGTTCCGTGTACCACGGGAATCGACGACCATATTTTTCAGAGTTATGTGTCAGATCCCCATCTGGGGCCCAAGACCACATTTTTGTTACTCTCAGTTGCGGATTTGTTGACGCGAGGCGCCCTCTCTGATGAGAGGACGTTTCTGCCACTTACGATTGCTTCTGATCCTCGCCAGCGCAGTCATTCTCTGGCCCGAGTACCGTGGGATTTATGACCATATTTTACTGTCTCAGATTAGGGACTGCCGAAACCTGAAAGGCGGTATTACAGAGACCAGCCGCTTAATTTTTATTGTGAGAATCATACGGCACACAAATACAGGCCTGCAGCCTGTGGGTACAGTCGTTTAACGCTTCAAAGGGTTAAATAAATAGCTCGTGTAAATATCTCCTTTCGACAAGTTTGAACATTAAAGATCATTACATAATATTTCAATATTGAAAACTGGTTTTGTAATTACTGAGTTATAATATTTATATTCCTCGACAGATAAGAAGTGACCTTGGATTGGTGATTGTCATGATTACTTTTTGGTGAACTCACTATCGTCATCTTTCGGAGGTGAGAAGAACTTATCCAAATATTCGAACCAGTATTTGTATGATGATAAACCGAAATGTTAACCAGTTCTAATTTGTTTAAACGTTGTGAATTTGTGAAGACATGAACTGATCGGTTGATGTTACTATGTATCATTCTTGAGCAAAAAAAAAAAAAGCAAGAAAAGAAAAAAGGATTTCGAGGAAACAGAAGATTCTTGTTGGAACAAGTCTTTGCTGTCGATTTCTACGAAGACTTTGACAAACGTCCTTGAGTGTTACAACTCGTCTTTGAATGAGACTTTATGAGAGATGAAAGAAGATAACTGTTTCAGATTTGAGTTTGTTTGAAACTTTTTGTTCCTTCCAAGATTATAAGAGTGGGAACAGTGTTTGGTGTTCTTTGAAATGCTCTCGCGTCGTGAATGCCATTCGAAGGACCTGAAGACAGTCTCTCGTGGCACTTCTTGACAGGCGCGTGTGTGAGGCAGTGCGAGGCCTGACCGTCTAGAAGCTTCACTCCACATTCAGCGCCATGACTGAAGAAAGGGACCACTATATGCCGTCCCTCGGCGATATTCGAGAATCCCTGGCCCTGGCAGAGAGCTTAGCCAGTGCTAGTCTACTCACATCTCCAGATGCTAAGCGTCGGTTGGCGGCGCGACGCCTCGAACTGGGTGAGGATCCATCTACCGGCGTCTACACACCCCCCAAACACCTGCTTCTTTACCTCGTAAGGTAATGGCGATTTAATACTTATTTAAACGGTGACCTCCGGGCGGGGATCCTAGAACCCCTTACTTACTACTCTCTGCCAGACCTACAAGTCCTTTGCTTTCCACGTCTTAATTCCTTCTGTTACCATAGCAACGAACTGTTAAGCATTAAGACCTTGCATGAACGTAAGTTATGAACAAGCGAGAAGTCTTGTTTCAGTGTATCGTGTCTATTCTGTGAATATTGACAATATTTTGATGTTGACATGTGAAGTGTAGTATAAAGGAGTCTGTTTCGGATTGATTGTTTGTGCGTGTTATTCATGGGAGATGGCGTTAAACGTCCGCCTCGATGTATCATTCGATAACATGTAGAACTGGGAAGCATTACAAGAGACAACGAATGGAGACATTATTAGCACGAAAGCTTGTATAACGGACAATGAGTCTCGCCTTTGAATCTCAACGGGTGTTACGCTAACTCACCCTTTGAAGTCACTATGTATATGTATACGGTTCTTAGGTATTTGTTTTTACATAACTTTCTGTAAATGTTGTAACATCACGCGGTGGCGTAGTTGGTTGAGGCACTATACTAGAAGCCGGAAGGTCGTGGGTTCCATTCCCGTTGGATTATTCAATTTCGTATGCTTCATAGCCACCGCTTGGGGAATCCAAGATCCAACATATTTGGATTACTGCCTTCTAGGACGTGCATCTGAGTCTCTCGTCCACACACACAAAGGGGATTCCCATAAATAATTGGTCTATGTACTACCTTTCGCTTGTTTGCTTGAGGAATCCACACGCACTGGCCCTGTGGAGGCCCATGGGGTTGTGAGACGTCGAGGCTCCCACATTTTCTAGACAATAGACTCACGGATGGCGGTGAAGTAACCAGCCTTACGCACTGACCGCCCTTTACCCCCAGGAAGATTCCTGGTACTCATTTCTGTTAGAGGCTGAGTCGAACCCAGGGTCATAGTGCGGCTGGAAGGATTAGGTCAATTGAAAAGTCCAGTGAACTCATTGGGAATCGAAGCGGCGACCTTCCGGCATGTAGCATAGTGCCTCAGCGTGTTATACTTCTGTCCGTCCGCTGTTGCGGCGGTCTCTGCGCATGTTAGGTAACGGCGTATAGTTATGGCGGCGCTGTTATCGCCAGTGCGACTGAGATTGTAAATATCCTGAGGCATTCTGACAGTTCATACATTTCACTACGAATCTTATCACTAGATGTCACCTGTTTCGATTGGAGCAATAAATCGAAAGATATGCTACTGGAAATTCATGTCTTAGGAGATTTTTGTTTTGAAACCTGAAATATCTGTCGCGTATATTGAAACGTTACTGATTCGCTGCCTGTCTTAGGTCTTGTGGGCGTGACTAACGTCATGAGTATGAGGAAATCACTGTTGAAATTGTAATGGGGAATTTAATATTATTATTATTATTATTATTATTATTATTATTATTATTATTTTACTGCAGTTGGGTGTTCACCCGGTGGCAGAAAATCTTACACTGATACAGACAAAGAAAGTCTATAACATAAAGGGAACAATGCACACAATAAGTAGGGTACACACAGTGCAAATCCAAACATATAAAGTCATAAATGGGCACGTGCTTGTGTTTGTATCACTGCATTCGAACAAGGACACTTCACACTACTTCACTTTTTTCCATTCAGACTCCGCCTAAGGCCTCTTTACTTGTAACAGCTTCCCTAATCCTATCTCTAAAAGTGTTTAGTTTACAGGGGAAAGACGCTAGTACGCCTGCAGGTCAAATGTTCCAATCTTTTGTGGTCCTAATGCGGTAAGGGTGTCGATGTTAAACGTTCGGGTATAAAATCTATTGAGAAAACAATGTCTCTGTACTTGCAACATTTGTCTTTGCACGTTAAAGGAAGCTCACTAAAACGAAATCCCTAACCTCAACTGGAGAAGTTCTGGAAATGCTCCGTTTATATAGTACGATTACGAACTTAAAAAAAAAAATAGCAGTGTTGTTATGTTCTTAGGGACCACGTAATCGGCCGCGCCATAGCTCAAGCGGTTAGTCGCTGGCTTCCCACCGCGGCGGCCCGGGTTTGATCCCGGGTCTGGTCAAGTGGGATTTGTGGTGGACAAAGTGGCGCTGGGGCAGGTTTTCTCCTAGTACTTCGGTTTCCCCTGCCAATCTTCATTCCACCAATTGCTCCACAATCACCCTCACCTATCATCTGGGGCTGGTACAATAGGCCAGAAGTGGCCGCCGTACAAGGGACTTAGTCCCACGCCACTAGCAATAAAAAAAAATAGGGACCACGTATTGGTATGTTCATCAGAGCTGGGTTGTATTATACCACTTAGCCTCACTTTAAGATGTCTTTTATTGCTGTAATCTGCTCCTCTAGCACAGCAAAAACTAGCCTTTGTAACTAGGCCGCGCCACAGTACAGGCGGTTAGATGAATTGGAAAGAAGCCATCGTTGCGCAATCTAGAAGTTATTCCGAAAATTGCTTGAAGGTACTGAGAGGGAATGTCGGCGGGGAAAACCGCAGGACAGTGGGTGTAGGGGTCGAGATTCGAACTAAATATCTTCCGAATGCTGGATCATATCCCACAATATCTATCATGAGCTTTTGTTGTGACATTAGCGGGAAACAGGCTTACTTCCAGAGAATAAGGAAGATAAAGAATTCCCAATTGCTGTCAGTCCTGAAGAACGAGACGAGGATGTAGTTCATCCCTCCACCACTGTGTGGCAGCGCGAGCGACATCCTACACACCTCTGGGCAGTGGATCGGATCCAGTCCACTGCACAGAAGCACAGCTTGTGGCTATTGTTACGTAATTCCTGTCTGTCGCGCAGGGAACCGCAGCAAGTGTGGGCAGCAGTTGCGGGCATGCGCATCTGATGGCTTTCTCTTGACGCTCCCCACCCCCTTTCAATCCAGCGATGTGTTCCATTGTGCGCAGTCGCCCACTCTGGACTCCGGCCAGGATGTTCCGGCGGATGCTTCGACTGCCTAGGTGAGAGAATTCCCACCCGGAACGGTAATTTTGCATTACGTCTTGAAACCAGAATGGTAATCATATATACCAACTGCTGAAATGTTTACATTTTGCCCACAGGCTTTATTTATGTTAAAAAAGATAAAGCTACCTCTGTGACACGCCGTGGAGGCCCATAGGGTTCTGAGACGTTTCTAGATAATCGGCTCACAGATGGCGGTGAGGCTATCAGCCTTACTCGCCTACCGGCCTTTACTCCCCAGGAACATTCCTGATACTCATTTCTGTTAGAGGGAGAGTCGACCCCAGGGTCGTAATGCGGCTGGAAGGATGAGGTCAGTTGGAAAATCCAGTGACCTCATCGGGTATTGAACCCGCGATCTTCCGGCTCGTAGCATACTGCCTCAACCAACTACGCTACCGCATGCCCCCAGTGTTCATGTGTGCAATATGATTTTCAGAATGAACAGCGATCATTTCCCTAACTAGTATTAACCTACTGGTCTTTATAATGGAGATGCAGTGTTTTTCCTGTGGCCTTGGAAATGAATTTGTAAATATTATTTACACGAACTTTTTGGGGTTAGGGTATGTGTATATAAACGCCGGACGGCTGGGTTGCATGCGACCAGTCAACACGATGGTCTGCTGCCGTTTTCCTCGGTCCTAGAGCAAATGCTTCACACATAGCCCTCAAATTGTTACAAAAAAAAATCTCGCCATAATATATTCCTCCCACTGTTATACTATAATTTCACTCTGAAACAGCCCTTCCAACGATAGTATCGAAATTCCCCCCAAGCTCAACGTATTTCCCCTGACCATAACGGAATCTGCTTCGTAATTCCTTAACCTTCAGTTCCCATCGCTTTACCCTGTCCCCAGAGTAGGCACAATTCTCTCTTCTCTCTCTCTCCCACAACATTTATTGGTCCTCAGACATCAGCCTCTCCGCTAGAATCACATTCTACTGTTACTGGCGCGGTCGCAAAGAGAATTTGCAAAAATTCTTCTACCATCTTCGTCATGATTGTCCATTTCCCTTTCCCTGCATCGACCCGAAGAATCCGTCCAAGTCCGAGGTCTTGTATACTTACACTTGCTCTCTGACGTTAAGGGAGGAACATTCTTGAGAAACTGCGCAACTGACGACTTCTGAACAAGAACGCAGATCCGTGGAGTTAGGTCGTTAAGGCTGTTTCGGGCCCAAGGTTTAAAAATTAGAACTGGTTCTTCCGCTTTTCTTATGGTCTGCCTGTCCTCCAAATTTTCGGCGCAGAAAGGCAAAATCTTTTTCACGAATGCCACCGCCCACGTGACTGGCTACTGGCTTCTCACCTCATAGCGTCAGGCTCAGTCCCGGGTAACTTCATGTGAGAATCTCGGTGGACGAAGTTTCACCTGAGGAGGTTTTTCTGTGAGTGTTTTCGATTTGCCCCTTCTAATTATCATTTTCCGCCATTGTTCGCCTGCCTCTTAGCTGTGCGAGGGCCCTGATCACGCAGCACAGTATCACATCCTCAGTCGGTAAATGCGGACCCAGCGCTTCAGTTACTACAGAATGAGGGAGTTGGTTACCTGCAGAGCAAACACGTCCTGGGAAGCTGCCAGTCGCTCAGCTACTCAAGAACTTCCCAGCATTTTATGGAACCTGAAGGTTCATTACCCTGTCCACAAGAGCCATTCACTGGTCCCTATCCTGAGCCAGATCAATCCAGTCCATATCATCCCATCCTATCTCTCTAAGAACCACTTTAATTTGTCCTTCCATCTATGTGTTGGCCTTCTTAGTCGTCTCCTTCTGGTTGTCCCCCCAAATCCCCTATGCAGTCGTCTTCCCCCATTCGTGCTACATTTTCTGCCCACCTCATCCTCCTTGACTTGATCATTCTAATTATGCTTGGCGAAGAATACAAGTTATGAAGATCCTCATTAAGCAGTATTTCCCGAAACAGCCTAGTAAGGCTAATTCTGTCTCACCATTTTGCCCTGATAATGGTGGCAGTATTTAGCCCCGAAACTCCATTATACTTTTATAAAACTGCACGGAGTCACACTAGAGCCGGGATAGCTCAGTCGGTATAGCGACTGGCTACTGGCTTGGATGACGGTGTGGTCGGAGTTCGAGTGCCGGTCGGGGCGACGTCGTTGACGCAGGTTCTGAGGTTCACCCAGCCTCCTATCCAATGGGTATTCCCCGGGAGTAAAGCGACTGGGCCGTGAAGCCGACCACTCACCTCCAACTAGTGCCGAGGTCAAGAATACGTGGATATGTACATCCACTCTCCCATACGCCTTCATGGTGTAGTGCTTGAGGGACAACTTTACGTTTCCTTTTGACACGGCGTCACATGCCAGAAGAAGAGAGTGCTTCCCGACCGCGAAATTGTGGGGAGAGTTCAGGGGTTATGTTTGTTTCTGGTTCCCTGGCGAGCATGTCACGGCCGAGGGGGCAGACAGATCTGTGTGTGCTCCCCATTGTTAAGCAAAACGCACTCCAGTTTAGCAGGCAGCGTGTCGCAAGGCGCCGATTTGCATAGACCACAAAGGACGTCACGTTCCGTGATTACCATCTCTTCGGCTGCTTGCCACAGTCCGGGCTTCTTAACCCTGGATAGCCCCCTCCCTCACCTCAAAATTAAATTAGAGTCAAATTTGTGAGATACGAAGCCCTGACGGCGACATTCGTGAAGGTTGTCGTCTCCTGGGATGTGACATAAAGAGTCTCCAATGTTTCGAAGGAATATCCTTCCTCCATCTTCAGGGTAGCGATTTATCAAGAAATTAATTTAATGTATAAACATTTCCATATCCTGGGATGTGACATCCTGTATAATTCGATACAGAATCTCCAGTGTTTCGAAGGAATCTCCTTCCTACATCTTCAGGGTAGCGATTTATTAAGAAATTAATTTAATTTATAAAAATTCCCGTCTCCTGGGATGTGACATTCTGTATAATTCGATACAGAATCTCCAGTGTTTCGAAGTAATATCCTTCCTGGATCTTCAGGATAGCGATTTATTATGAAATTACTTTAATATAAATTTAATTTATAAGAATTTCTATCTTATGGGATGTGACGAGTTCTGGTGGGTATTTACCGACGTTTTGGATGAACTCGTTGTCTTCCTCTTCGACACTGGACATAGAAGCAGCAGATTCTTCGAAAACGTTGGTACATGTGTACCAGACTATACGGCATCAGATCCGAGAATACTCTGATCATCACAATTAGTAGTAATGCAACCTGCAGCTCAATTCTTGAGGAGTGAATAAGGCCGAAGCTTGTGAAGAAATTCCCTGCCTTTTATGAAACCCGGCGGTTAATTACCGTATTCGTAAGAGCCGCCACTGGTCATTATCATGAGCCATAGGAATCAAGTTCACACCCCCGTTCCATTTCTCCAAGCTCCATTTTAATATCATCGTGATAAGTTCCAAATCTCATGTTTGTTTTCCTTCCTGAAGCCTTTTGAATGCCAGAAGGAAAATAATGAGAAATGGCGGGACATACTAGGCCGACGTCCGGGTACGTCAATTTCGTGCGTGGATATTATCTAGGGCCTGAGCAGTGCTCAGTGGCCTGGGTATTCGGGAAATAAATTATCAGTTCACGTTCTGTGAAAAGACGCGGAATTTGATTATATGATTGTTACATAAATTTTAAAGACAATGTTTGGGCGTCCACAGCAAAAGGCCCACTTTTGATGAATTAAAACCTTACTGCGGGGCTTTGGGGTGTTCAGATATAGTATCACCACTGTCAGAAGGTTCCTAGGGTGCGCCCGTTCGCCCTGCTCAAAAGGACAATATTAAGGTGAAGACGTTAGAATGCTCAGACGCAGTGGCTTGAGACAGAGGCTGCGGGATTTTGATTTTCTGAATAAGTGTCGAATTAGCTTGGAATAGAGGGATAATTTGGTAGCTTTGACAGTGGACGGGTTTAATTTTGAAGACCTTAAATGGGAAAGTACCTTAATTCATCTAAATAATACTCTTATATACAAAGTGTGACAATTAAGTTCCCGAACTGAGGTCATTAAAACCCCACACACACACACACACACACAAAAGAAGATTGAAAATGTATTACTACCATCACTTAGTTCAGTCCCCGCTCGCTTCCGCATAAATTTTATGTCACTAATGCATCGAATCGGATTCCACAGAAAACGCTTCTTCCCGTATCGCCTTCAGTTCTTTCGTCGCTGTCTGTTGATGAAACAGCCTCGAATCTCGTCCACTTCTTCGCAATTTTTAATTTGGGAAATAGAAAAAAAAAGTCGGTGCTAAATGCGGGTCGTAGGGTGGATGGGATAACACGGGGATCCCTCGTTTTGCCGAAAACTCAGAAGACAACTCCCGAAAAATGCGCCGGTGGATTGTCGTGCAGAAGATACCAGGACCCTGTTTCCTGTAACTCGGGTCTAACGCACGGAACTCGAGCGGTCAGTCTCTTTATCACCTTTTTATGGAATTTACCATTTACAGTCTGTTTTACTTCCGCCACAAATTCGTGATGAATCACAACTTTAGCATAAAAATTGCAGTCAACATTGTTTTCACCCGCTATTTTTGCATTCTCACGTTCTGAGCTTCTGTATACCTTTTATGCTATTCAGACACACTTGTCCTCGATAGACATTCCTCACCGTACGCACTTTGCAACATTTCAAACGTTTCAGTAGCCGTTTTCTTCAATTTTACACAAAACTTGATCGCTGCTCTCTGTTCCGTTTGGAAACTTCGACACGACAAAAAACTAACTTCACCAAACAACTGCAATCCTCATTTGCATCGACCAAACAAGCCGAAACTTGCAGATCATATAAATAAACGTTCTCTCTAACTAGTCCCGTTCATCCCCAATAGATGGAATTAGTAGTATTCCTGTAATAGCGTCAGTTCGGGAACTTTATTGTCACACGGTGTACATATTAATTTAGTTCCTACCTCACAGGAAACTAAGCTGGGATACCTCAGTCGGTATAGCGACTAGCTGCGGGCTTGGCAGA